CGGGGCCCCGAGACCCGGAGGCGGACCCCGGCCGGGGGAACGGGACCGGCGGACAGGCCGCCCGCCACTCACCTGCGTGGCCGCCAGCCGCTCCCGCACCTCTCGCATCAGGAACGGCTCCAAGCCACGCCCCGCGGTGCAGAAGAACCGGGGAGCCCCCTTGGTTCCCAATCCCGCATCTCCGGGCTCCATGGCGCTCGGCGCGACCCCGCGGCCCGGTCACATGGGCTCGCGCGCTCCCGAGCTCTCGGGAGCGTGCGCTTGGCTGGCTCTGGTGTCGGCCAGCGCGGGAGCGCGCGCGTAGCGCGGCGGGTTAGCAGCAGCGACCTCTACAGGTAATTTTGTTAACTACATGTCATCCTTCAAGGGTAGGCATCTAAGATTGTCTAAAACTCCACCGGTGCTTCTTAAATTGATCAGTAAGCATTGAATCCATAGGTTTATAGGTATTTTTGTAAGCATTTGATCCATAGGTTTATATGTATTTTTTCAGACAGAGGGAACGAATGCCCCCAAAGGCCCTGAGACAGCGCAGCCGAGGTTGGAAGTTAGTTTCTCCACGCTAGTGTAATGCATTTTCCTCCATGCCTCTCACCTCTCTTTCATCTCTCTACTTCATACAAGGAACCTTGTCTTCACCAAGAACCAGCCAAACCTGAGAATCCCTAGCATTCAACAAATAGCTTCAAAGAGCCCTCCAACAAATAGCTGCATGTTGCTCAAAGAGGACACAACTGTTAGAGCAATGAAGAAGATACCATCGAGTTTGTGCTATCGGATTTCAGTGGCTCACCTAACTGTTCTTAAAGAGCTTTCATTGTTTTCAAGCTCTGAATCTTAAAATGGCAATGGAAATATTATTCGGGAAAAAGAGCATATGAAATGCAGAAAGTGAACAGCATCGTCACCTCTGTAGCTATTTACTGAATCAGGTACATAGAAATCATTAGATGAATGTTTACTCCTTTGGCAAATATTTCCTTGTGCTCACAGTGAGATACCAACAAGTCATACTGCCTTGCCTCTCTCCCTATTCTCCCACCCATGATCTAGTGGGAGGGACAGTATGGTAAAAAAAAAATGCTTTGTGGGGCCTGCAACATGAACATTTCAAAGTTTTAGTGCATTTTGGTGAACTTATCTCTCCCACCCCTTTTCCTTCGTGGTTATTCTTTTCCTTTTGGCTCCTGCCTTAGACAGTTTTTACTTTAGGCTATGTCTGGGGAGGACCAGGAACCCCTCCTTAGTACTGGATCTAAGAGGGTAAGCATGTGGATATACCACATCACGTTCACTTCAATACTGAACAGCTACTCCACTGTTCTGAGGATTTAAAAGTGAGTTAGCAAGGCTCTGGACTTCAAGGGGCTTAAAGGACAATGACGTTGGTTGACTTATCAACGACATAGCCAGGTTGGGGCAGATGCACTGACAAAGAAGAGGCAGGGTGGAGATTCCTGGAGAAATTAATCCCTAAGCCCAGCTTGGAGAGTGTGTGAGGGAGCAACAGCACATGCCAGGTATTGCAAAGGCAGGAAAGCTTGAGAACAGCTAGGCTTGGGAGCATCCATTAGATAGCAAGCTGGAAGGGCCCAGATGACATCAATGCTGTCAAAGCTGGATAAAGGACCACAGGTGAGTTGAGGCTGTCATCCTGCGGAGCCAATCTTCCCTTTACACCCCTCTCCTTCCTTTCCGTCTGATGTCTTCCCTCCAGTACTGGGTGAGCAAGGCCAGCTCTTGCTCTTTTTGGGAGTTGGCCTACCATCAAAGGCCTTCACAGATTACTTGGGTTGAGTTGGGATAGGTGGGGTTCTACTTCCTTAGGGAGAAAAGAATTGATTTTCTGGGAGGAGAGTTGCCTGGAATTTTTTCCCCTCCATTACTCAAGTAGTCTTCCCTCCACCATTTCTTTCTTTTTTTTCTTTATTCAAAAACTATCTCTACTAAGAAAGAGACACCAATCCCTATAGATGATGTTAGCATCTCCAGCTGTGATTTGCTGTTTGGATATTACATATTCAACAGGCAGAAAGTGGGAAGTTACCAAGAACCATTTTAGAACAGATTGTTAAGTAATAAATGGCAAAACTATTTGCTACAAGATATTTCCCTATTTTCGATGCCACTGGGCCATTCTGTTAGTCAAAAAAAGACCATTACTGTATAGGTTGAGCTGTTAGATACAGATGTTGTTAGATACATATCTCTGAGGAGAGAGTGACTTCCTTTAGTGCCACACTGGAACTTTTCGGAGTGTACTGAATTGTCCAGAGTATCACTCAACAGGAGAACAACACATTAAGTCCTCCTAACTAGGAAGATTTCTCTCTGTCTGTCTGTTTGTCTGTCTGTCTGTCAGTCATGGGGCTTGAACCCTTGAACCACAGCACCACTTCTGGCCTTTCCTGTTAATGTGGTGCTGAGGGAAGCTACTTTTTTTTCCCTAGTCTTTCTTGAACTCAGGGCCTATGCACTGTGCTTGAGCTCTTTTGCTCAAGGCTAGCTCTCTCCTACTTTGAACCACAGCTCCACTGAGTATTTCTCTCACCATCAGACAGCAGGGGCCTTTGTGAGCAGGATATGGGAGTAAACATGAGCTACAGAAACTAGTGCAGTGGGAAAGTCAGGGGTGAAGGGATAAGAGCACCACCAATAAAGTTCTTCACAACCTCCCTTCCTCCCTCTTCATCCTCATCTCCTCTGCCTCCAGATTAATAAATAATGTTTCTTAGCTAGTGATATTCCTCAGCATTATGTGAGAAGACCTTAACCACACATGGTTGCCATGCTCTTCTCTTGTGTGCTGGTATAGTTGAGTGGGGCTGGTGACAAGTTTTGGCCTTTTTATCTAGAAGATAAAGAACTCTTGCTGTTCATCCACCAACAGCAAGTTGGCTTCTTTAAAATGCCCTCAATTTCCCTCTGCCAAGGCGTACTGTTCCCTTTGCCTGCAACACTCCTCTATTTTCTTTTCTTTTTTCCCCCCCTTTTTAAGGCTAAGATTGAATAGCACATCTTTTTTTCCCCTTTATTCTTTTGTGTTGGTTGTGAGGCTTGAACTCTGGGCCTGGGCGCTGTCCCTGAGCTCTTCAGCTCAAGGCTAGATCAGAAATGGGAATTCATTTGCCTCCTTGGGGCACTGGCAGAGTACACTGAAAGCCTCCTTAGCAGAGAGGAAAAATATTGCTGGTAGGAAGAGGGCAGGGATTTCAGTTTTCTGGTCGGGCTAGTACTGAGACTTGGACTCTGAATACCTTCCCACACACCCCCTCCCTGCTTTTTCACCCTTTTTTGCTGAAGGCTGGCATTCAACCACTTGAGCCACAGTTCCAATTTTATGTTGGTTAATTGGAAGAAGAGTCTCATAGACTTTTTTTACACCAGCTGGCTTCAAACCATGGTCCTCAGATATCAGCCTCTTTCTTTCTCTCTTTTCTTCTTTCTTCCTTTCTTCTCTCTGTCTCTCTCTTCTTTTTATAGATTTTTCTTTCTTTATATTTTGATGGTTGTAGGCCTTGAACTCAGGGCCTGGGCACTGTCCCTGAACTCTTTTGCTCAAGGCTAGCACTCTACCACTTTGAGTCACAGGACAGCTTCCAGTTTTTGATGGTTAATTGGAGATAAGAGTCTCACAGACTTTGCTGCCCCTGAGAATTGAGGTTCTCAGATTTCAGCTTCCTGAGTAGCTGAGATTACAGGTGTGAGCCATGTGCACCCAGCTTATGAGTAGATGTCTTTTTCTCCCCATCCCCATCCACAAATCGTATAGTTCATTTTCAACACAATGTGTAAGGAGTACCATTGTTGCATTTGTTCACCATTTGTCCTTCTATTTCTATACCCACTTTTGCCCTCCCCAAAACAGATAAATCAACAAACATGTCTGAGAAGAAAATAAAACAACAAAGAAAAAAACGTCTTGTTTCTATTTCCTGGAGTTCATTTCGACAAACATTATTCTATATGGTCAGGCATTGTGTCTTTGTGTTCCTCTTAAGAGTATCCTCTTTTGATTTCACTGTGTCTGAATGCCTAGAGTCCTGTATAATTTATCACTTTTCGATCTAGCTTCCACATAAGAGCCTTTTGAATAGCTGAGATTACAGGCATGAACTCACTACAAGCCCTGAGCTCACACATTTCATTTTCTTTAAAACAAAAACAAAACCCCAAACCTTTCTTTTGTAGAGTCAAAGATAGCATTCCTATGCAACAGAGAACCTAGATGGGCCCAATTCTTTGTGGGTTGGAACCACTAACTTGGTTGACATCTCTCCCTGGGTTTGTTGGCCTCCTACATTGCTTCACCACTGGTTAGTAAGCTTCTGGGTGGACTCATGAACATCTGTGCACGTAAGACCACAGAGTAACTTGGAAAGGGTAGGAATTTATCATTCTTTTAGAATTCCATTGCATGACAATGTGATAAAACCTAGATGTAGATACACCGATTTGTCAGTCAGTAGATATTCCAAATATTAAGGTGGAAAAGACAAGTAGTGTATTTTTATGGCTGAAACTGAGAGGCATCTGGGAAAAAGAGACTGGCCACAGACATCATGTCAGCTATTCTGTATGCACACAGGCAATCAGGTATGTCAATGGACAGACAGTCAAAACAGAAAATTCAGCAGAAAATTGTATCGTAGTATTTGCAAATGCTAGCTTTAAAATGTTACTTGCTAATTATTGTTTATATGAGTGTAGTTTTAGAGTAGCATCAAAATTCTAAAGATACAATCTTTATGTTCTGATTTACAGAGACAGTTTCATTTTATGTCTTATCTTGGCTTTTGTTATGTTGTACATGTAATTATTTTAATGTATTAGTACAGTCCAGTGTTTGCAGGATCTTTTCTGAAAAGTATGCCATATATTTAATGTGTATTTCAGAAACACAAGACAATTTGATGTGATTTTATTTGCTTAAATGTATTTTGTGCCCATAAACTGATTTATATCTGATAGTACCTCATAATGTCACAAATGGAAGGCAGTAGGTAAATTGTTTCTTTGATACACTTGGTGAATGAACAATTGACAGAATGTGCAATTTTGTTCAATTTACTCAAATGAACTGTATTGCCTAAATAAAATGAAGCTATTTTCCTCTTGCAGTTATGTGCACCTTACTCAGACTGTTATTTCAATATTCTTTTTCTCTTGCTGCATTTGTGACTGTATTTATGAGAATTGTTATTTCTCT